ATACTTCAGGACGTCCAAAATACACGAAAGGTAAATATGTGAAATGTCATAAATTAAGTACTAACTAAACATGTGCCAAATTGGAAATCGAACCCGTAACTTGATATGTAATCCTGATGTTGTTGAAAGCATGGAAGCAGTTATCTCCCAGTATGTGCATTGTATAGTTTAGGGATAAAAATATTACTTGAAAAAATGCAATGGTCTATTCAAACTTGAATTTTATTTGATGAAACATTTAAGATTAAGTTAATGTAAACAAGTTTCTTTTAACAGTTTCTATTGCTGCAGGTTATATCTATTGGCTCACCACCAAAACCACTGTTTACACCATCTAAGAAACCTGGAAGAAAACATAAAAGTGAGAAAAAGGTAACTACAATGACCTCTATTCTAATAGGGATTATGTTAATTTATGAAATTGTTGCTTTGAGTTTTTTAAATACACAAACATAACTATTTCTATTTCAGACCTCAGATCATGCATCAAGTATAGCCTATACTGAAATTGAGTGCAGGAAAGAGGTCCATCAAGCCGAAATGGCAAATGAAGAAAGGAAAGCACGAAACTTAGACCTAGAAGAGACATTGATAAAAATAAAAATTGAATATTATTAAAAAAAACTTCAAGTTCTTGAAAAATAAACCATATGTCACCACATTCACAGAAATCATTGTTGATAGCTATAATGATGATGGTTTGGAAGATACAGGTAATAATGTTGTTTAGGTAATATTAGATTAGACTATGTTGTCTGTGTAATATTTGAATAATCTTAAAATTTTGTTTTTATTACAGAACGAGTAACTGGCACTGGGCGAGCTATTGCAGAGCGAATACAGAGAAGACTCATATAAACTGCTTTTACTTAATTATCTATAGTGTTATGCTATATTAGAATAATCTTAAAACTTTTATGTATTTATTACAGAACTAGTAATTGGCACTGGGCGAGCTGTTGCAGAGCGACTACAAAGAAGACTCATAGATACTGCTTTTACTTAATTATCTATAGTGTTATGCTATATTAGAATAATCTTAAAACTTTTATGTTTTTATTACAGAACTAGTAATTGGCACTGGGCGAGCTATTGCAAAGCGACTACAAAGAAGACTCATAGATACTGCTTTTACTTAATTATCTATAGTGTTATGCTGTATTAGAATAATCTTAAAACTTTTATGTTTTTATTACAGAACTAGTAATTGGCACTGGGCGAGCTGTTGCAAAGCGACTACAAAGAAGACTCATAGATACTGCTTTTACTTAATTATCTATAGTGTTATGCTATATTAGAATAATCTTAAAACTTTTATGTTTTTATTACAGAAGGAGTAACTGGCACTGGGCGAGCTGTTGCAGAGCGCCTGCAAAGACTCATAAATACTGCTTATACTTAATTATCTACAGTATTATGTTATATTAATAATAATGTAAGTATAGTAATGATGTGTATAGTAAATGTTTCATATTAATTGTATAAAGTAATATATTGTAAAATGATTTTATTTTAAAAAAAAAGTCCCGCTGGGTTTCTTGCTGGTTCTTCCCAGGACAGAGGTTTATTTTCGGTTTTAATAGAAAAATTACTAAAAAATCTATTTTGATAAAAAATATTCTAGTTTAGTTTAGTTTACGACGGGCTGTTTTCCGCAACTCCACGTCTATGCGCGTATTTTGCGTGTGGGCAGGAATAATATGCTTCTTCGGGCCATGAGATCTCCCCGAAGAAGCTCAACAGTCTTTTGATGTTGCATGCAACTTCAGGGAGTGATACCGGCGTGCCGAGATGTTTAGCCCTGTACGCAGCGACCTTCGAACATTTCAATAGCACATAGGCCGGCCCCAACCCACGGCTCCTGGATTAAGGCTATGGCCGTCCTTTGAACCTCCAACCACTTGCGTAATTGAGCCGACGCAGTTTCGCTGTGGTGGAGGTTGCCCTGCACTAGGCTAGTTTTGGACGAAGGGCACGCCATCATTGATCGCGTCCTTCCCGTCCCCGCCCAAAAATAAACCTGCCAGCAGATCTCTGGTCTCATCGTCAGCCACCGAGTCGGAGGTGGTCGGCAAAATGCAGTCCTCCTCGTCACTCAGTGAGCTGCCGCTGAGCCCGATCTCCACTGGGGGCTTCGGCTCAATTGTGCAGGCCGTTTTTTCACTGGACTTGGCCTCCAGTGATTCCGCTGTACCGGTAACCATGTCTCCGGTATCCATAACTTCCGGGTTATTTTCTGCCTCTTTGCTTGGTGGAGTGTCAAAGAATTTACATCCACGACCCTGGAATTTTACGTAAACCGCCCCGCATACACATGCGAGACGGCGTCCGGCCTTCATCAGGGTCGGGATATGATCCTCCGGCACCGAAACAACGAGGAACCACACGTCCGTCTGTTTATCTGCCTTGAATAACAGCCAGTCCCTGATGTTAACCCAGCGGTTCTGGTATGCCAGCACACGACCAATGTCGCGTGAGTCTTTCCAGGCTCCCTGGACATCAGGGATAAGGATACCACATTTGACTCTTTGTGGTATCTCCGACTGTTTCTTTATAGTCAGCGAGGTGTTGGATTTAAGGTCAAAGGTAGCAATATTCCCCTTCAACTAATCCAGAGCCTTCTGATCGTCGCACCACAGTTTCAGGACACCCTCCGTGTAAACGGGTTTGGTCTAACATCAGGGTCCTGGCTACTCCAGGCCTCACTGATCATTTTCCTCTGTATTGCCACGAGGATGTCGTCTGCTACTTCCTTCGTAATGTGACCTGAACGCGCACACGTTAAGGCCACACCCAAAACTGCTTTAGCAGCGGAAGCGTAGGTTATTCTTGCAGTCTTTGGTTGCTGTTCGAGTCGCACTTTTTTGTGCTCTCCTCTCGGCGAGGACTCTTCCAGCATCCTTTTGGTTGCTCTTTCTTTATTCCCAGGACGCTTATCTTAGAGCTGGTTCCCGCGGCCACAACTTCCACTTGGGCTGGATTTTTATCCTTCCCAGCTTCAGCGCGGCTACTGGTTCCAACCCTAAGCACTCCAATCGCAGTAGCTTGCCCAACCTCCCTGGTTTTAGTTTTAGAAGCAGCCAGCGCGGCTCGTTCTCTTCGGCCTTTTTCTCGCTGCTTCTTATTCTTCTTTTTGGCCTTTCCTATACTGCCTGCACGGATAGACCCTCCTGATGGTCCGTCAGATCGGCAGGTCATCTAATTATATTTTAGTTTTTAAAAACTCCTTCCGACCTTCCCGAAATTTGACTTTTGTTACTCGCGGGCTCTTGCTCCTTTTTCTCGTCCAGCTCCTCAGGATTGAAACTGGTTTTGGAAACGTTCAGCGCAGAAGTTGTTCCCTTGGTGGGGTCACCTACGCTGGACGGTACTGTCGGTGGAACCGACGGTTTAATGGCGGTTCCCCTTTGTTCTTTGGTGTCTCTGGTAAGCACCTCTGACACCTCTCCCTCTTTCTTACTGGGCCTTAAATTGTCCATTGGCTTTGTGTTTAAAATTCGTCCCCCCGACTTCCCACCCTCCATGGCGCCCGCACCTTTGGGAATGCCCTACTTTAAAAAAGAATTTCAGGCGTTAGGATTACCGGGAGAATATAGGGACGCGAAGTTGGCTCACGGCGCGACTTTGGGAGCTCGATCCAGCTGGTAGATGGGACTGACAATACCCATCCCCACTACCCGAATAAACTGTCACTTGCACTTTCAGCATGGCCTTTATCACCACCCAGCCCCTTTTCAGGAAAACTAGACAGCCCCCACATCCCTCGCCTGCGACCCTCTGACGGGGCGCTTGGCCATTTCCCTATCTGTGGCTAGCAGATATGGCCACCGTTTAGCTTGAAATCCGGACCAAAGAGGGCGTGTTGCCTCTCGCCACTATATACCCCAGCGACGATCGGCTCAACCCTCCAGGACTCCTTCATCCCCGCGTACGGCGCTCGACTGCGCAGGTGGATGTGTTAGTCCACCGGATACACCCACACTCTCCGGCGGAACCGTCCCCTCCTCCTTTCTCATCCGGGTCTGGGACAGGCAATGGCGGAGTTAAAAAAATATTCTATTCTATTATGTGAATTGAAATAAAACATTAAACATCTTAATTTATTTATTATTTTTATTTACATATAATGTTAAGGCATCTCCTATTTTATTGGCAGCCTGTGCTAATAAAAGAGACGCCTCTGCCTGCACTTTTGCTGCCTCTGCCTGCATTTTGGCAGCCGCTGCTTGCACTTCAGTTGCAGCTGCCAGCATCTGTCATGAAAAATATAGATAGATCGAGAAATTCTTGCCAATTCTCTCTAGCATGCTAGTGAATCTTTAGGATAAAGTATGCCATATAATGTATCTATTGACAGACCAACAATAGTTTATATTTTTTTTTTACAAAATAAAAGTGTAATACGAGCACATAGTCCACCTGATGTTTTGACTTGACCAATGCCTATGTCTACATCTCCCTTTAAAAATCAAAATGCAGATGCGTTGTCACTCCTGAGGACTATACTGGAATGCCTCGTTACTAGTCAAGGTTTTAGGTTAGGGTTAGGGTCTCTGGTTCACTACACTCATCATAAGAAATAGTAGCATTAAGATGCTATTTTTGTGAGCATGGTTATTATAAAGCTGCAACTGGCTCTACTACGTAAAAAGTAGTTATTCATGTTTTAATAGCGTGCTAATAACCCACTGAGCTTAAGCTCAGTACAGTAATATTAATATAAGGCAGTTATTAAACAACAATAATACAGATAAACACATTTATTTGTATATACATTATTATAACTTATTGACCAACTAATTCAGTAAAAAGGGTCTCTGGTTCTCTACACTCACCATACAAAACATAGCAGAATTAAGCTGCTATTATACGTTGGTATTCTGTGAGAGCGTGGTCCTTCCTCAGTCGATCCGACCTATTCATGCTACAACTATACTACTAATACAGCTGCAGCATGGCTCTACCACATAAAAATATATATTGTTGGTTTTTTCTTCTGTTTAGCTTAAAATGTAATAACATACCCTCATTGACTCTGCATTCGATTCTGCAACTGCCAAAAAATCCTGGCGAGCTATATTCTCTTGCTCAGCGACCGAGTGGCGAGGATTCAGATCTAAAAATACCCAAAATTTATTGTATTGTAATTAAAATAATTTTTAGCTTAATTCTATTCAAGCTGATCATCTTGTGAACTAATGTTTATATTATTAGCACTTAATTGAAATTCAAGCTTACTCCTTATCCTCCTGGGCCTCTCTTGTTGAAAAGTGGGTGGTGATGTAATGACAGCTGCTGCTCTGCTGCCACTCACTGCTGAAATAATGAAATACACATGAAATGATCTCAATCTTACTAATAGCATAAATGTGAATATATCCAAAGATTTTTGTATATTTATTAATCACACTAAAACAGAAGAAAATTTATATAAAAAGTTTGGCACATAGACCATTTTATCTTGAAATGGTGGATAAAACAGCGGAGCACAAAAAATAAATATATAAATTAAATATTTGTGGTGCTGGTGACTGCAAAGTTACTTCTTGCACCTGTTGTTCAATGGATGTTCGAGAAGCAACAGCTGTGGCTCTGCTACCACTTGCTACTAAAATAATCTATATAAATCATTGCGTTGAAGACTCCGTCTTCAAATACTACACACATTGATAGACAAAAATAGGTACCTGCATAATAAATCCGCTGAGCATTTTCTACTTGGTCTATAGCTTCTAAAGCTTGCAGAGCTTGCATAACGACACTAGCAATTAAAATCCACAAAAAACAATTTCACCAACAATAATGTTAGCAAATAATACAATTTAGGTATGTTACAATATATCACTTTTATTTCATCCGTTTATAACTCACAATTTATTTATCGTACAAATAATCACTTCTACTCTTATTACCTTCACTATATCTTTTTCACAAAACAATCAAGTCTCTTAAGTTTCAATACCTTAGAACTGAATGCCTAGCTTGGGTCGTGACGGCCATTTTTATACCTCTTTTGTTCGAAGTCAAATCCGAAACTATTACAATAAAAATCTTACCGGAAATTCAAAGCTACAAAGCGGAAATTCGATTTACATTTATTAAAGTTAGATGTATATTTCAAGAGATAACTACATTAAAATTAGGATAATTCAATATATTATGCTTAATTGTTCTTTATATTTAATTGCTAACAATCGGCCTTTCCTGACATTTTCACGTCCCGTGAAAGGAAAGTATCAAATGTATAAAATTAATTACAGTTTATTTTAAATTAATGAAATAACAACGCAAAAATATTGAAGCCCAATTCATGTCTTCAACATTCACCTGCATGAGACCCCTTCATGTTCTCAACAGGTAGGAAAGGAGTAAAGAACACTGAAGCCCCATTCATGTCTTCAATATTCACCTGCATGAGACCCCTTCATGTTCTCAAGAGGCAAGAAGTAAGTAAAGAATACTGAAGCCCCATTCCTGTCTTCAATATTCGCCTGCATAAGACCCCTTCATGTTCTCAAGAGGCAAGAAGTGAGTAAAGAATACTGAAGCCCCATTCATGTCTTCAATATTCACCTGCATGAGACCCCTTCATGTTCTCAAGAGGCAAGAAGTAAGTAAAGAATACTGAAGCCCCATTCATGTCTTCAATATTCACCTGCATGAGACCCCTTTATGTTCTCAACAGGCAAGAAATAAGTAAAGAATACTGAAGCCCCATTCATGTCTTCAATATTCATTTTCCTAATAAATGATGACATTAATATAATGTACTATAATAAACAAAATAATTATAAACAAATATCAGTATTGTTTTTTTTTTACAACTAAAATTATTTAAATAGTAATAACTAACTAAATGAAAAAAGAAATATTATTTATTTCTAATCATTACAGGAAGAAAGAAAATGATCCTTGCAACACTAATAACAAATTATTTGTAATCATTTACTTATTCATTCATCGGTATTACTATTTGAACTTTGAGTATCAGACTCATAGTTTCGTTGATAAACCAACCAAGGATGAATTTTATCAACGGAAAATATACCACTAAAACGTCTGCCTTTGCGTGATATAGGTGTATCTTCGACTACATATCTATCGTTATCGAGAACCTTACATATACGATAAGGACCGCGAACTTTAGAAATTAATTTTCTGCTTTTACCTGTTGAAGGAATCTCTCTCTCTATTCTAACCAAATCACCTACAACGAACTTTAAGATTTTCCGCTTCTTATCAAAACGCTCCTTTTGTTTTGTTTGATCAATTTTAATTCGTTGCGATATTTCGTTCCTAATACTGTCAATATTATTAGTATTTTGTGCATTTTCATTATCGGAATCACTTAAGACATTAATCTGCACCAAAGAATCATTGGTTCCTATTGTTTTAATACCAAATAAAGCTTCTGCAGGAGTTTTACCAATTGTTTTATTTATTGTATTATTTAATCCCCACTGAATGTCACTTACACATTCGTCCCATAAATGTTCAGGCTTACCAAAATTTGACGCTGTTAAAGAAGCTAATACTGTACGGTTATACCGTTCTATTTGCCCATTAGCACGAGGAGTGGCAACAGCATTCAGCACGTGCTTGACACCTAACGAGTCTAAATATTCATTGAACCGTTTAGATGTAAATGAGGTTCCTCTATCAGAAATAAGTCTTCTCGGGACGCTAAAAGTGTGAAAATAATGTTTTATTGCTCTGATGGAATGGATTGTTTTCGTGCTTTTTACTGGTATTAGGATAATAAATTTAGTGAATGCATCTATTATTAGCAACAAATAAGAGTTTCTTTTTACTGCGCACAAAGGGCCCTAAATGGTCTATATGGATAGTGTCAAATGGTCTATTAACTTTTGGTATTGAATGCAATTCCCCAGCTTTCTTGCCAGCTGGAATTTTGCTGTGAGCACATTCAAGACAAGAATTCACATACTTTTTTACAAATCTCCGCATTTTAGCAAACCAGTATTGACCCTTGATCTTATCGTAAGTTTTATCAACACTAAAATGACCAATATCATCGTGATTAGCCTTTAATACTTGCCATTGTACTCCCTTTGGTACAACCCAGCGATCGCCATCTTGCGTTTTTCTATACAGCAGACCCCTTTTTACTACAAAGTTGTTTTTTATTTCTAAAAGATTGCTTGTATTGGGATCCTGTAATATATTTACAATTCGTTGTAGTTCTGAATCGCTCTGCTGTACAGTAGAAATCCAGTTCGAATCAATTGTACAAACATCAACGAAATTTTCGTTATACTTAACCGGATTTCGACTAAGAGCATCGACGTGTGACATGGACAGACCTGGTCTATATATTATGTTAAAGTCATACTCTTGCATTATATTCCACCATCGAGCAACTCTAGGCAACATATCACGTTTTTCAAACGTTGCTCTTAAAGAATTACAATCAGTAACTATTGTGAAACATATACCTAATAAATATACACGAAACCGCTGCAATGATGTGACAACTGCTAACGTTTCCAAGTCATAAGCTGTAAAACGACTCTCCTCAGGTGTAGTCTGTCTACTGTAATAAGCTACAGCATTAAAAGGAGATTCCTTGTTGGGTCTCTGCAACAAAATGCCTGCAATACCGACCTTAGAAGCGTCAGTGTGAACTTGTGTTTCATATGACTGGTTATAAAAAGCAAGGACGGGGCGTTTAACTAATGCTTCTTTTAAAGATAAAAATGCATTAGTTTCTTCCGTACCCCATCTCCACTTAGAATCCTTTTTCAAGAGTTGTGTTAATGGTCTTGCTATAGTAGAAAATCCTTTTATGAATCTACGAAAAAAACTAGCCAATCCCAGAAATTGTCTAACATTGTGTTGGTTAGCGGGTTCAGGAAACTTTTCAACGGATTCTATTTTTTTCTTTCCAGGCCGCACACCATCTTCACTTATTTCAAATCCCAAGTAATCGACATTTTGCATGAAGAATTGACATTTATCCAATTTTAAAGTTAAGCCTACCCTTTTGAACAATATTAAAGTATTACGTAGTTTTTGAAACCCTTCCTCAATTGTTTTTGATGGAATTATCACGTCATCCATATACGCAAAAGCTTCTTTAAATCTTGCATTGCCCAAAATCTTGTTAATAGTTCTTTGGAAGATAGAAGGAGCGTTAGCTAGCCCAAATGGCATCCTATTAAACTCATAGTGTCCATCAGGAGTAATAAAAGCTGTAAGATGTTTTGAAGATTCAGACATAGACATAGGTACCTGATAATAGCCAGATGCAAGATCTAAAGAAGTGTAATATTTAAATCCAGATAAATTATCTAATTGATCATCAATTCGCGGTAAAGGGTAATGTTCCTTTACAGTTTTTTTGTTTAATGCCCGAAAATCTATACAAAAACGATAATCTCCTGTTTTCTTTTTAATAAGGATAATAGGTGACGCGTATTCTGACGTAGACTCTCTGATAATTCCACAGTTTTCTAATTCTTCTACCATAGCTCTAACACGCTCGCGTTCTGGTTGAGACAAACGGTACGGTCTATATACTACGGGATTATTGTCATTTAATTTAATATTCATTTCTGAACCTTGTACGCACCCAATTTCATTTATTGCAAAAGCAAAGCATTGCCTGAATTCGTTTAGAAGATTTAGTAATTTAACTTTATCACTATGGCCCAAGTCTTTATCTATATTTAACATTGAAATTTCTATTAATGTAACAGGAGGAGCAGAGTTATGTTCAATTTTATTTACATAAATATTCTGAATATTTTTTTAAAGGTAGAGCTCGAACCAGTAGCATATCTTTTGTTAAAGAATATAGAGTTGAAGATACACATTTAATCACTACCCGTCCCTGACCATTGTTTAGCTGTATGACACTCTGAATAACTTCATATTCACGTTTAGGTAATTGGCAACTACTAGCTTCTATAAATAACTGACCCTTATAATTTGGAGATGAATAAACATATATTTCATTATAACCAAAAGCAACTGACGTAGATTCAGCGACGTACAGCAAAACCTTAGTTTCTTTTTGTGAATCTCTAGAAATTATTTTTAAGCTATCCTTATTTTTATAAACAACTATGTGATCTTGTTCAGTATAAGTTTGTCCCAGCAATAACGGAACTCTTAGTAACTCATCTGCCACAATAAGAACTTGTACCGTAGCTTTAACAAGATCCACTTCGATTTCGACTTCACACGTACCGAGACATTTCACTACAGAATCTCCAAAGCCTCGTAAAACTGGCAAATTATTCGTTGACCACGAACCAACTAGACTTTTAGCAACAGATTCCTTCAACATGGTACATTGACTACCAAAATCTATGAAACAGTCTAATTCTATGTCATTAACCTTGGCTGATTTAAAATATTTTAAATCATAATCCATATTTTTGGATATAACTAAAACAGACTTGCTGTCTGCGGACCCTTGTTTCGGACAACTATCAGTTAAATGACCTATCTTATGACACGTGTTACACCTTTTAATAGTATGTTTACACTTAAAATATGGGTGTCCTTCCTCGCCACAGTTATAACATTTTGGTACAGTTTTAATATCAGAACTACCTTGTATCGGCTTAAAGACTTTTGGCCGTCTGTTTTCAGAAGTGCTTGCTTGAATTGTGGTGTTCCTTTCAGGTCTTCTAACAGTTTTAACATTTCTTAGGAAAATTAATAATTTATCTGGTTCCGTAAATTGAGCCGCTTCGGCACTTGTTCTAACAGACCTATCCTCAATG